CCTCCCCCCGCCGCTCCTGCTCCTCTGCCTGCTCCTCTGCCTGCTCTTCTGCCTGCTCCTCGCTGCCTTCTTGGAGACTCAATGAAACTCCGCTCCATCCCCTCCTCGCTCCCTCCCCTGCCAGGTGCTGGGAGCAGAGCGGCACCCCCGAGCGTAACCCTTTGCTGCCTGCAACCCAGGCAGAGCAGCCCGGGAAAAAGGGGGTCCCCAGGGGGTGTTGGGGGGCCCGGGGGGCTCAGCGGGCTCTGGCAGGGCTGGGTGCACTGAAGGAGAGGGCTGGGGAGCCGTCGTGTGAAGGAGTCCCCCATGGGTCCCTGGAGAGGAGCATCCTAGGCTGGTTGGTGGTGGAGAGCTGGCACGAAGGGAGCGAACCGGGGTGAGGGGACCCACCGGGGTCCCTGGCTCTGTCCTGATAAACTGCTTCATCTCGCCCCAGGGGAACGGGCAGGACTGTGGCATTACCCTCTGCCCCGGGGCTCCTTTTCTTCCCCATCCTGGTCCCTCCAGTCCGGCCATCGGGAAAAGGCAAAGGGCTGCTCCTACCAGCCCAGTCCCTCCAGGAGGCTGCGGGTAGGGCAAGGGGAAGCACCCACTTGCGGGTACGGGGCAGAATGGCTGCGCCCTTTGGGAGGTGATGGACGAGGCGAGGGGAAACTCTTTGGGCCTGGATTTATTGGGGAGGTTTAATTTTTGTTTCTCTAATACTGGCTGCTGCAGCGATGCTTCCTCCCCCGTCGCGTGGCCATGTGGCCGTGCAGTCTTCTTTCCCTCCCCACTCTTAAAATCATTAAAAATAGAATTGTAATATATCCAGGGTCTTTTGATTTTGCAGTCTGTGTGCATGGCCCCTTCTACCTGCATGAAATGGATGTGGAGCTTTTCCCTCCTCCCTGGAGGGTCCGGCATCTCCTTTGCACGAGGCGCAGGCCGGGTAGGAAGTTTATTTTGAATTTATTTGTGAATTTGTGTTTATGGACATGCATGTGTAAGTCTGGGCAGTAACGTTCCCCCCTTCCCTCTGCACGGCAGAGTGGGGAGGTGGCGAATCGTAGCCATGCCGGGGCTCTGCTCCTCTTCGACTTGGGAAATCATGAAAGGAAGAAGGAAACGCAGCTCCTGTTCCCCCAAGCCAGGTGGTTTGGGTTTTTTATTATCCCAGAAGTAAAAGGATGGCAGATAGCATTGCGCTTAAAAGGGAAACAGAAGCCACTGGTTTGCTGTTACAGAAAGACAGATTTGCTCGTTGGGGGCTTTGTCCCACTGAAGGCAGCAGTTGTCCTTCTCCCATCTAGCAGGAGAAGTTGCAGTACCGAGGGATAACTTGCCAGGGACAGGACTAGTATTAAACCCAGTATTTTCTCAACCCCTAGGTAACGATTCCTCTTCTTTACATCACTTCACCTTCCTCTCTGTATCCTTTTTGTATTCCCCCTTTTCCTGAGCTGCTTTGGAAAGCCAGATCTTGCGGCGATGCTAAAGATGAACAAGCTACGGGGGAAAGAGCACGTCGTGAGATGCAGGATGCTCTCGCCGAATGCCCTGCTAGCACTCCCATCTGCACAGCAAATTGGTCCAGCTTTTGACTGCGATTGCAGTGCTGGGATCTGGACAGGGAGGTTTCTCTTGCAGTTTTGGGGCGGGGAGGAAGGTGGGCGACAAATCTGCAGGGTGGCTGCTGCCCACTGCCTGCATCTAAGGTCCCTGCCTGCGGTGCTGCCTGTTGCCTCCTGGGTTTGCTGGAGATGTGAACCAGGTTGGACATGCCATCTCAGCCAGGGGCCATGCGAGTTACTTGGGGGTTGAATCCCTTTTTACTTGCTATTGAGCAACCTGCTCAGTGTTGATGGCGCTTGCTCCCATGGAGCGGTGGCATTTTGGGGCACGGGAAGACAAGACACCTCCTTAACGCCACCGGAGCGTGAGGAGCCCTGCGAGCCCGGTTCCCCCGGCCAACCTGCGCCAAAGGGAGCAAAGGAGTGACGAATCCCTCAAAGAAAGCTTCCTGGTAGCCAGGGCTATTAAGCTCCAGAATATTCATCCAAGAGTGGTGCTGGAAGGACCCTGGGGCCTCCTAAAACCAGAAGGAACACGGCGTTGCAGGATATACGGTGACACTAATGCTGTCCTGGCCCCAGCGGCGTGCTGGATCCCTTTAATGGGCTGCACGTCTCTAACTACTGTGATTTCGATAAAAGATCTTCATAAAACTTCCAAATGCCTGTGCCATCACCTGCTTTTCAATCACTCCAAGCACTGCACCTCCTGCACAGCCTTCCCAGAGCCGTCTGTGCCGCATGGGCTCGGGTCCACGCCACCCCCCCGCCGTGCTGGGTGCATCCCACCTATTCCCACGCTGGTTCTGGCTGGTGAAATGTGTTTGGGGAGCAGCTCTGCGCCTCTGATTTGGCTCCTCGCGACTCGGCGAGGCTGAGCTGAGGTCAGTGTGGCTCAGGATAAGGAGGAAGAACAAGGGATAAAAATGATTTAATGTGACTTTCTGGGTTTCCTGGTGTTTGGAGGGAGCTGGGGACTGGAGTGGCATAAAGAAGGACTGATTTAGGAGCTGCTCTAGCTCGTCTTGTGCTGCGATGGCTCCCTCTGGAGCTACTTAAATAGCCCGTGCGTGGTAAGCATGGGTCTGGTGCTTCCACCTTGCCGGGGCGGCGGTGGGGATGTGTCCCCCAGTCCAGTCCAAGGATGTGTCCCAGCCCGTGTGGCCCATCTGGGTGGCCCATTCAGTAAAAGTGGGCTCCTGCACCTCCCGTGCAGAAATCAGGCCTCGATGGTAGAAATAAAACCACCCAGGCGAGTCCTGGGCCAGCATTTAGGGACAGGTTTCCTTTTAAATACTGGCAAATATGTTCCCAGTGCTGTAAAACTGGATGGGATTGGGGTGGGAGGAGGTAATGGAAAGGCCGGGTGATGCTTTCAGAACAGCTAAAGACAACTCTTGTTCCTGCTGCTTTTTCCCCAGGAGGGTCCCAGGCCGGGATGGTAGCAGGGTTGGAAGGGGCGTCCCGGCCTCTCGCCGGGCGGCTGATGAGGACGGGGCGAGTTGGTGCTGAGGGTTTGGCTCTGGCTTTGCTCGGCTTGGCTGCTCTGAAGCCGCAGCTCCAGCAGGCGGCTGCCAAAGTGGGCTTTGCAAGTTTATTCTGCTGGATTTTGCAATAATGGAAGAGCCAGGGACCAAAATTGCTTCTTCCTCGTTGTCCTGCACGGGTTTCTCCCAGCGGGTGAGACGCACTCCAGGGGTGCGATTGCCGGGGCTCTCCCAGCTGCATTTCTTGGTGCAGCACCTAGCACAAGGCGCCGGCCAGCCCCGGGGCTCCAGGGGCTGCTCTAACAATGTGCTCTCAGCTTGTGCAGATTTCCAAAATGAAACGTTACCCACGTGTTTCTAGCGCCTTGGGAAACCTTGTTTCCCAGGTCCAGGGGATCCGGCTCCCTGGGAGGGATGTTCTTGCCATCGCAGCGAGCAGGGGCTGATTTGGGGGGAGGCGGAGGACGCGCCTCGCCCGATGCCGCTGCGCATCCCGCCTGGGCGAAGCAACCCGGGCTAAAGGGGAGCAGCTGAGATTTTTTTAAATTTTTTTTTTTTTTTTTTTTAGGTCTGATTTATCT